ACATTTCTTCTTTCATGGATGTGAATGCCTATGGCAAGGTCAACATCTGTGCTCATTTCTAACTGCCCTCACAATGACAGTGAGCTGCTTTCTTGAACCATTGTTGTCTATGTTGTGTAGGTAAAGCCGAGGTGATACTGGGAAGCGAGTTCCAGGATTTATTTCAGTAGGCGAACCAAGAATGATAGAGCTCCAGGTCAGGTTGTTGTGCAACTTGGAGGGGAACTTGCAGGTGGCGACATTCCCATGTATCTGTTGCCTTATCATTCTATATGATAGAGGGTGCCAGTTTCGAATGTGACGTTGAACAGCCTTGGTGAGTTGCTGCAGTACATCATGTAGCTGGTACATACTGCTGCCACTACGCATCAGTGGTGGAGGGAATGAATGTTGAACACTAAACGCGGTGCCAATCAAACTGTCTGCTTTGTCCTAGATGATGTCAAACTTCTTGGGTGGTTACATCTCCAACAACACTCAAGGCAGTGAAATATTGATTGTGGATGGACTTTGGGGAGTCAATGGTAAGTTCCTCACTGCAGACTTCCAGCCTTTGAATTGCTGTTGGGGCCACGGTATTCATATGCTGGTTCAGTTCAGTTTCTGGTTAAATACTTCAAATATGAATCTAAATGCTCCTGCCAGTGACAAAGCCAACAAAACACATGACAACATACATGAGTAACAAATACATCAGCTGTTCAATTAATTTGCTGCTGCTCGCCTGTAATGACCTTTCCCAGCACTGCAGAAATATATGCACTAGCAAAGGAGAGCATCTATTATACATTTACTTTAACATTTCACATGTTTATTTGGTAGTTGCATTCAAAACCAATTATTTTCTTCCCCGCTGCCTATGTGCTTCCCACTTGAACATTTCTGTTTCAAAGTCAAAATAAAGATGACACATTTATGATGAGCCTTTTTATTAATAATTGTAATTATTAACTCTCAAAATGCCCCAACTGGTAAAGAGAAATGACAGAATCAATAATGTAGACCAACATTACATCTGCAGGGCAGAAAACATTATTACAGTTAAAAAGAATGAAAAAAGGATTTCCAGTGGCCAAAAACTTTTCTTTTGAAAAGATGGCCATGTAGGAGGCAACTGTGCTCTTCCAATTTCAGACAGTTCATGTCACCATTAAGTACAGGACAGCAAAATGCAGGATAACGTTTCTAGACCCTAAAATTTAGGAGCATATCCTCTTCATTTTGAGAGCAGCAGTATGGAACTTCTTCCCTTACTCTCAACATCTTCTGTATCAGTCACCCTGTGGTCTTCATAAATGAGATTGTCAAATAGGATCATATAATGGGACAATTTTGTAATGCCTACAAGGGACTGCTCAGGGAATTTTCAACATCTTTCACAGAATCCACACAGCTAATAGTGAATACTTGTAACTTTTCAAGCTAAATTGAATTTGAACCCAAGTTTTCAAGGTGAAAGGTTTAACCTTAGAGCCAAGTTTTTCCCAAAACCAGAGTCATAGAGTCTTACAACACAGAAACTGACCCTTCGGTCCAACTCATCCATGCTGACCAGGTTTCCCAAACTAAATTTGTCCCACTTGCCAGTGTTTGGCCCATATCCCTCTAAACTTTTCCTGTTCATGTACCCATCCAAATGTCTTTTAAATGTCATTACTGTACCTGTATCCACCACTTCCTCTGGCAGATCATTCCACATATAAACCAACCTCTGCATGAAAAAGTGGTCACTCGGGTTCCTTTTAAATCCTTCTCCACTCACCTTAAAAATACACCCCATAGTTTTGAACTCCCCCACCCTGAGGAAAAGACCTTGGCTAATCACCTTATGTGTGCACCACATGATTTTATAAACTTCTACAAGGTCACCTCTCACCCTTTACACTCCAGTGATAAATGTCCCAGCCTATCCTTATAACTCAAACCCTCCTCCAGCCCTGGCAACATTCTTGCCAATCTTTTCTGAATCCTCTCCAATTTAATAACATCCAGTATAAAAAGTGTGTCGGGGCATTCTCAAGAGGGAAATCAGGAGGGCAAAAGGGGGATATGAGACAGACTTGGCAGATAAGGTTAGGGATAATCCAAAGAGATTCTACAAATACAATAAGAGCAAAACAGCATTTAAGGAGAGAATAGGACCCCTTAAAGACCAATAAGGTAGTCAATGTGTGGTACTACAGGATATAGGAGAGATACTAAGTGAATATTTCATGTCAGCTTTTACTGTGGAGAATGACATGGAGGCTAGGAAACTTGGGAAATATAAATATTGATGTATTGAAAACAGGCCACATTACAGAAGAGGTGGTGCTGGAGGTCTTTTAAAAAGACAAACATGGATAAATCGCTGGGACCTGATCAAGTGTATCTTAGGACATGTGGGAAGTTAGGGAAGAAATTGATATGTCACCTGGGGGCACTACATCTACAACCATGGGTGAGGTGCTGGAGGAAGCTGTGCCATTATTTAAAGAGAGGCCTGGGAACTACAGTGACATTAGTGGTGGGTAAGTTGATAGAGGTGATTCTGAGAGATAGGATTTACATGCTTTTGGAGGGGCAAGGACTGATTGGGGATAGTCAACATGGCTTTGTGTATGGGAAATCATGTCTCACAAACTTGATTAAATTTTTTTGAGAATGTAACCAAAATGGTTGATGAGGGCAGAGTGGTAGGCATTGCTTACATGGACATTAGTAAAGCCTTTGACAATGCTCTGCATGGTAGACTCTGCATGGGGTTCATGGAGAGCACTCCAATTGGATACAAAATTGGCTTGACGGTAGGAGAAAGAGGGTAGTGGTAGTGGGTTGTTTTTCAGACTGGAGGTCTGTGACCAGCAGTGCACTGCAGAGATCGGTGTTAGGCCCACTGTTGTTTGTCATTTATATAAACAATTTGGATGAGAACATGGGAGGCATGGTTAGCAAGTTTGCAGATGACACCAAAATTGGTGGTATAACCACCTTCACTGTCAACTATGTGAGATTACAAAGACATCTTGATCAACTGGGCCAATGGGCTGAGGAATGGCAGACAGAGTTTAATTTGGATAAATGCAAAGTACTGCATTTTGGTAAAATGAACGAAGGCAGGACTTACACAGTTAATGGTACAGCCCTGGATGGTGTTGTCAAACAGAGACACCCAAAGGGTTCAGATACGTAGTTCTTTGAAAGTTGCATCACAGGCAGACAGGACGGTTAAGGCAGCGTTTAGCAAGCTTGCCTTCATTGCTCAGGCCATTGGGTGTAGGAGTTGGGACATCATGTTGAGGTTTTACAGGACATTGGTGAGGTCACCTTCAGAGCACTGTGTACAGTTCTGGTCAATTACTTCTTTATATTACATAAATAGTTTGTGTACTCTATGCCTTTATTTATAAAGCCATCACAAGCTCAGTTTTCAGGATGTTAAATTTTACAGCCACAGCTTTGTCAGACAAATACATACAACATGGTCGTTCATTGTATGTAATCAGCTCTACTTCATTGAATCTGGCCCTATGCCAAAATAATTTTTCAGGGTTCTTAAAAATGACCTTTTGAGAAAATCTTGAAGTTTTTTTGTAAGGCTACCTTCTGGTTTTCAGGGGCTCATTTATCACGCAATTCATTCTGCATTTGTGTAGACATATAGGATATTTGGATTCACAAAAATTAGAAGAATTCATTAATATCCGTAATTATCAACGATCCATTGAAATTAAAGCCACTACACAGAGAAAGCATAATTTCCTTGACACCACAGCACTTGCATTGAGGCGTAAGTCAGCAACGACTTTTTTCAAAATAACAGATACCAATACACACACCATCCGCAGACTGAAGAAATAACTAATGCATTTCCGTCACATTTCAACAAAGCTGGAACATTTTAACCAGGCAGTCACAACCGAATCACTGCCAATCTCAATCACAGATTTAAATTCAACAACTGACAATGTTGTTGACAGTAGCATTTACTATGTTGCTGCCTAAATAATAGCTCCTGATCAGACACAGCTTTAAACTATAGATTCCACATTCATTTTCAAGGAATTCATTTTCAAGGAATTCATTACCTCAGTGAATTCTGGTTTTCCCAGCTATTTCACGGTTGATAGGTTTAAAACTGTTCTCTCTCCTTTGCAGCCTTCTTTCTCAACTCCTTTTCATCCTCCTACTTTTCAAACCCCACACCATGCAGCCTCCTTCTGCCCCTTTTTGCAGCCTGAGCCATTTCCTTCTCAGAGCTGTACAGCCTCAATATTAGATCCAATGTTACATCAACCTCATTTCCCCTCTACCCCTTGCAACATACACCTTGTCTCAGAACTGCAGACCTTTGATCAGAATACATCGGTTGAAGGATGGCACAGCTGTGTCTATTGCATCTTGGTCCCTATAGCTCATTAGGTCTTAGACGTAATTCCTGTCATGGGACATTCTCACCAGGACCATAATACAAGGGCTACAATTAGCTTCAATGACAATGAACTTCCAGTCCAAGGCAGAGAAAGGAGAAAAACAGCTGAACTCACGCTGTGTCAATCCCCAATATGCAACAACATGGGATGTCACCTGACATCATGAACTTAACAGGACTCATAGAAGAATGCTCAAATGGGATTATACCTCACGAGGACAAAATGGAATTTGTTTTTCAGTCAATGACTTTAGGTCTAAGTCAAAAATATTTTTACTACCAAGTCAGAAAGGGTAGGTTTTTATTTTAATGACGTAGTCTTTCACAAAACACATTTACTGCGCCAGACTCTGTTCAACAATTAGTGGTTAGCTAAAGAACACAATCACAATCACAATCTAGATTTTACCTGTTATAAACAGTATTCTTTATATGTTCAATGCAGGACATAAAAATTCAGCACATTTTTAAAATAAATCTTTTTTGTACTGCAGAATTATTTACATATAGCCAAGTATATATTGCAGATCACTGAACTTTAAACAGCTAAAAGACAGGTGTGCTGTAATCTACTGAATTGCATAGTCACCTTTATGAAGTCCCTTCCAGATTTAACTTTCCATTCTGATTCATATACATTCAAGTAGGTCCCTGGACCTAAAATAAAGAATATGTACTTTACTCAATGAAAACAGAGACTTAAACAAATTTCAACTCTGTACTTGTCCCCCTTTGAAAAATTTAACATATTAAAGTGGCTTGCTCATGTAGCGCATGTAACATATAAATGACCATTTGTATGATTATAAAGAAAAATTATTTTTTCTAGACAACAGCAAACTACTCAACACCACACAGTGACATAGTGACACAAAAGTGTGTGTGTTGAGGGGGAGGAGAGAAAGAGAGCAAACAGCAGGGGGACAGAAGAAAGCAGAAATAGGGGTGAAGATAGCAGGAGTGGATGAAGAGAGAGCAGGAGTTGCGGGGTGGAAAGAGTTAGCACATGGGAGAGAACAGGGAAGACAGCATGAGGGGTGGGAAGCAGGAAAGAACAAGGGCGGGGATGAGAGCAGAAAGTGTGAGGGTGGTGTGTGGAAAAGATCTATATATGCAAAAGGAACAATTTGGCTACATCAAACATGTGAGCATTGAATATATTCATCTACATGTGAAAATTCTGTCTTCTCTTCATATTATCTTAAAATTATTAAGAATCTCAGAGTGCAGAGATACAGTGGGTAAAATGAAGTTGGGGTATTCAGTTGTGACTTAATTGAAAGGTGGACTGTCTTGAGGCATGTTACCATTACATATGAATGTGTGGCACAGAAACAGACATTTGAATTTGCCTTGTTCATCTTTTAATGTCCCGAATCTTTAATTTTCATTCTGTTATCGAAAATTGTTTTTTTAAACACGGTTACTCCTGATGCTTATTAGCCAGGCTTCTGAAACCCATGACGCATAAACACAGACTTGAGCTGTCAGCTAGTGCAAGTGTCATTTCTCTTGTAATTTTTCAGAATTGGTGTGGATCTGTCAGCCAAATCGTGACCCCTGGTGCTCCAACCCAAGATCTGCATCTTGGGATTAATCCTGCCCACTGCAGGTGCCCTCAGCAATACCACCAATTCCAAAGCCAGGGCTACTGGCCTCCCAACCTTCTCTGTACAGGTATATTTCTTGCCAGTATGCTAGTCTTCTAACATGCTGACATTCAAAATTTTAGTGCAAAATTTTGCTGCGACAAGATACTCACATATTCCTGAAAGATAGATTTCACCACATTTGGCACAACCAGTTGCTCGAGAGGTTGCCAGCTTTAACGTCTCAGGCAGTGCAACATTATGTGCAGGAAGTGCACGTTCTGCAGTGGGGGCATCACCAAACCCAACCTATTCCTTATGATCAAAGATTGCAATTCGGTTTTGTTATTTCCCTTTGTTTCATCTTAATCTTCTCTCCCACATTCCACATGTTCTCTTCCTTCCATTTCAATATCCAAATGCTCAAAGTTATTCTTAGATTCAATTTTCCTTTTTTCTATTTACCCAGTGTCCTAGAAGCTTTATTATTTTCAGCTTTTAATTATTTTCTTTCTTGAACTCAACTTATTATCACGTGAAAATTTTCTTTAAGTTTCCGTCTTTGTTTCCCAGAGCTTTTTTCCAGCTTCTCTTTAGATAAACTCTCATTATCTCAATTTATTTGTTAACCTTAGTCTTCATCCTACTTAGGTATTTTTCCATCTTATTCTTACACCTTACTATATAGTAATCAGAACCCGGAGGGTGCTGTTTTATTCTTACTATCTTTCTGTTACTTCTTATAAGACTAGTAACTCTTTTCTCATTAGACTTCTAACATATTGAACAAGAAAGGACTCCTATATACATGAGAAAAATATATAGCGTCAGTGGGGGAACATTTCGGACAGTAATCATTGTATCATAAGATTCTGGATGGCGTTGGAGAATAACATGCAACGGTCCTTTGGAATGGGGTGGCATGGTGGGTCAGTAGTTAGCATTACTGCCTCACAGCACGAGGGGCCCGGGTTCGATTCCACCCTCAGGCGACTGTTTGTGTGGAGTTTCCACATTCTTCCCATGTTTGCGTTGGTGTCCTCCGGGTGCTCGGTGTTCCTCCCACAGTCCATAGATGTGCAGGCTGGGTGGATTGGCCGTGCTAAATTGCCTATGTTCAGGGATGTGTATATTAGGTGGGTTATAGGAGATGGGTCTTGGTGGGATGCTCTGAGGGTCAATGTAGACTTGTTGGGCTGAAGGGTCTGTTTCCACACTGTATGGATTCCGAGAACTCTTGAAGTTGAGAGTGCTATCTATTCTTTTGATTATGAAATTCCCTACAAATAGAAATCATTCCATTTTGCATTCCCTCCTTTAGACAGCCTTCTGCTCCAAATACTGGCTGCCTTTCTCAGAGTCATTCCCCTCATCCTTACAGGTATCAACACTGCTCCCTAAGCTGTGCCACCAAGCATTAATCCTGTTCCCCCCTAGGCTGTGTATAGGTTGCTCCTGTTCAGCCCCTACATAGTCATAAAAAAAAAAACAGGTTCATGCACTGTAACAAATTGGCTGCGTGTTACAAAGAAAAATCAACGTTTACTATTCTTAAATACTTGGAGTCTCTTACACAGGTCTACTGGACCTCCTATACGTTCTCCTTACCTAACTGAGTCAGACTTGCTTCGTTCGGAAATTTTTTTTCCTCCGATGTGACTGTACTCTGAAGTAAATTATCCAGTCATAATACCAACATTAAACTCTTACTAATTCAAGCTCACCACTAACTGATAAAGAAACTATACACTAAATTTCTACATACTTACCTATACATTTGGATTAATTTCCTCAGGCTTGCCACATCTATCCATGCACTGAGTACAATGTCATTATTCTGCCAGTGCAATTAATTTTTCGTTGGCTTAATGCATCCTTCCTTTCTACACCAAATTATCATGCTCAAATTTCTCTTTTTTTTGAAAAACGCCTCCCACTTCTCCCAGCTCTGCTCTGAACCAGGCATACTTTTATTCCTATACCAACTTCTGAAATTTTGACGATTCCATAACTTATATTCTTACTTACAGATTGTAAAAAGTTACTTACTATCATCAAAAATCCCAGCATGTGCAAGCAGCAGTGTAACCACTTTTGGGTCTTTTTCCATTTGCAGTACTTGTTTGTTCCCATGTGACATTAACGTACATACGTTGATTGCAAAGTCCACTTCATTTGGAAGTCCCGAAAGTAAAGACAGCACCACTTTATTATAATCGCTGATCGTGGTAAATTCTGTAAAAAGCCCATAACCGCGACGTACACTTTCTGAAAGAAAGAATAGTATTGGTTTCTTTTATCTCCAAATTATGATGCAATCAGGTTTGGCAAAAGATAAAATCATGCAAGCCACATCACATATGCAGCTTAACAGCGCAAAGATCAGACAAATTAAAGGGGCACTGACACTGTGGTTACAAAATTAGTTAAAAACAGAAAGCAGTGTGTAATGAGTTGTTTCTGAGATTTGAATGAAATCCGGTAACCCCCAGGTGTTAGGACACTGCTCTTTTTGATATATATTAACAAATTAGATTTGTGTCTGCAGGGCATATGTCCACAACTTAGAGAAGATATTAAACTTAGAAATATAGTCAATAAAGAGGACAGTAACAAGCATCAGGGTAACAGACTGGTAAGATGGAGACAGGACACAGAAGATATAAAAGACTTGCCTCATGACGCAGTGGCCTTCTTGCTTTCAGCGGCAGGAGGGGTGAGAGCGTGAGCCAGGAAGTGAACTGTTATATTAGGGCATTGGCTAAACCTGAAACACTACGTGTAGTGTCTCCCACCCATCCTCTAACCAAAAAAAGAGACTGTCGAGGGTCGGAAAGGTAAGCTTTTTTTTCTTTATGCTTTTGGCAATCTAGAGTAGAGGGAATGGAAGCTAGGGCAGTTGCATGCTCCTCTTGTAGGATGTGGGAGGTGAGGGTGACTACTAGTGTCCCTTCCGAAATCACTTGTGAGAAGTGCACCCAACTCCAGCTCCTCACAGACTGCGTTAGAGAACTGGATGAACTCTGGATCATTCGGGACGCTGAGGGGGTGAGAGATAGGAGTTATAGGGAGGTTGTCACACCAAAGTTACAGGACAAAGGTAGCTGGGTGACTGTCAGGAGGAGGAAAGGGAATAGGCAGACAGTGCAGGGCTCCCCAGCAGCCGTTCACCTCAGTAATAAGTTTACCGCTTTGGATACTGTTTTCGGTTTTGTTGGGGGG